ACAGTAATCAGTAATCGATCTTTATGAGGCAAAATATTCATCAAACCGTTTAAATACACCATGTTTATTTAAAATCATAACGAAACCGCAATATGAATGCATTTTTAAGAAAGTGTTAACCACTTCCTAGGACTCATTAGAATGATTTTATGCTATAATGCTTATTTACTGTCAAAATATACAAAAAAAAAACAAACGCACAATAGTACGTACAGTAAAACTCAATATAAGAGAAGTCCGAGTCCGATGTCAGAATAGGAAACAAAAGAAAATAAACAAAATGACAATAATACATAAATAACAACAGACTACTAGCAGTTACTGACATGCCAGCTCCAGACCTCAATTAAACTGATTAAAAGATTATGTCTTCATCATATGAATATCAGGCACAATCCCTCCTGTTAGGGATTTAGTATTATACCGTCATAAAATATATGAGAAGAACATAACCCGTGTCATGCCAACAACTGGTTTTAGAATAAATGTGTTTAATTCCGATGCAAAGACCCTAGTGAATTAATATTAATAATATGCAATCTTTAATGACCTGACAACAATATCGTAACTATATCCCTTCTTAATAAGTCTGTTTAAAGGTTTTGTTAGCTTTTGAGGTGAATACTGATATTTTTGTGCTTTGTAAAGAATATTACCATAAAAGATTGGATGTGAAATACCCGAACGTATAAGATATCTGCATGTTGAGTTATATTTACGAATGATGCCCTTATACCGATGATAAAATTTAGTAAATGTTTTGACTAGTTTATGATATCGAAAACCCTGGTGTAATAATTTTTCAGTAATACATAAATTTCTCTCGCTAAAATCTAATACGTTGTTACATACACGAGCGAATCGTACAAGTTGAGATATATAAACACCATAAGATGGTGACAAGGGAACGTCACCATCTAAAAATGGATAATTAACGATAGGAAATGAAAAATCATCTCTTTTATCATAAATTTTTGTATTAAGCTTCCCGTTAATGATATAGATATCAAGATCGAGGAAAGGACAGTGGTCATTGTTAGTATTAGCTTTATTTAAAGTAAGTTCAACAGGATAAATTTCTTTAGTATACACACTGAAGTCGTCATTATTGAAAGCCAATATATCATCAAAATATGTAAAAGTATTGTTAAATTTTTGTATCAAATGTTGTTTCGATGGGTCTTTGCTGATTTTAGATATAAATTGTAACTCATAACAATACAAAAACAGTCCTTTAATATCTGAGTGGCGTCAGCCACGAAGATATGAGATGACAATATCTAGTTTACAAAGAAGTAATAAATAATTATTTTATCTTTTCCCTTATTTTAAAAAGCAATTAGTTTTTGATAAAACAGGAATAGTAACACTTTCAGAAGATGTTTTATAGTTATGGATTTGAAATGAAATCTTAATTGCTTTTTTTTTCTGTCATCAACATAATACCTCATGCTTTTTAATGGCAGTATGACTCGCTGTTGTATCTAGTCTTTTTCTGGTTTAATTGCCAAAACCTTAACATTTTTCTCGTAGATAATAACACTTCTATGTAAATGTAATCAGTAAATAATATGAAGACAATATAAGAATCAAAGTACTGAAGTACTGAACATCGGATGACGACAAGTTCTTGTGGATGGTCACAAGCACTTGTCTCAGAAAAAAAAATCACATCTCTATACCTGAAAGTGAGGTTAATGTACAGATATCATTTTTTTTTCATAGACAAGTTCGTGCGTGGATGATAAATAAATGACAGGGAATTCAACCTCACCGTAATAAATATGATATTGAAGTGATACAAATCAGTATACTCTGGTGTGTTGTTATATATTATATTAATATTTGTATATTACAGTTACATGTATTATATATAATTTTCATCCATTTGTATATCATTCTATTCTACTAGTCTATATTAATAATAGTGCAGTGCAAGTGCATGGTGGACACTCTTCTGTAATAATTCGATTTTTCTAATAGATTGAATTTGGGTAGGCTTTCATATTTCCCGCCAAACTTTCAATCTCCCATGCAGAGTTATCGGTCCTTGAGAGAAAGCGAGGACCGATAACTCTGCATGGGAGATTGCAAACGTTCTTGAGATATTCTTCCGCATGCGTTAACACACATTTTCTGTACGTGTGCATAGATATTAAAGATTTTTTACTTATATATATATTTCTAACGACAAAACATTTTCATATTATTAATTTATGTTCTAAAAAAAATATTTTTAGGAGTATCCATTGAAAAAATGAATTTATAACAAGCGATAAGGAATGTTGATTTGCAATCGATAATGTCCGCGTATTTATCATGTTTATAGATCGGTTACAATCCCAACACGAAAGTTACGTAATGGAAATCTAGGCGACAGCAATACACCGGAATGCCCTCACGGTCATCCGATGTAATAAATCGGTAATGTGAGAATGTTTTGTAATATTTTGTGAAAAGTTAAGTAATTTAACGTCTGACATTTTGTATTTCGAGAGAAATAATCGTGGTCATGTATTGCGATCTGATCGTGATTGCAATTAAGTACAATATTTTTATTTCAAAATCTGTGATAAAATCCGTGGTATTATGAAGAACGAGAAAACAAACCCTAGAAAATGTATGTGTCTGTCAGAATGATTATTATATCTAAATGATACTGGCCTGTAAGGTAAAGAAAAAAAAAATACGTATTTCTTTAAGAAAACGATTAAGACGAAATATGGCCAATTGAAAGGGAATCAAAATTAACGAAACACACGTTTTAAGTCATATTATAGCCACATTCCAATATAGCATGCTTCATTTGGCAATACATCGTTATCATATTAGATAGTACAGTAAAATGCATTTCATATTATTAAAATATCCGTTTGTGTGTTTACACTTTTTATGTCATTGAAATGTTAGGACCAGTCTACCTTTTTGTAGAAACAAATACCAATGTTGAACCTTTTTGATAGACATTTTGTATTTCTCAAATTATTTGTCCTGATCATTCAATAATTCAGATTAAGTACTGCCCTTGCATATGTCTTCTCGGTAAGATTTCCTTCACCATCTGATACCAGATCTTAAACGATCCAATCGCAATACTCGAATACCGTTACTTATTCTTTCATGATTATTTTTGTCGATATACTGAATGTGATTTCGATCCTCTAAACAAGAATTGTTTTATTAAAGGTGATCCTGTATGATTACGCTAAGCTTTACGAATACTCTGCTGCCTTTAAGGGGTAACAATAAAGCATAGTATACTTTTAAAGACAAGTAACATCATCGATCTAGGTTAAGTGCAGGCTTATTTACATTTTTACGTGAATGTGAATAGGTGTATGTCTTTTATAATAATTATCAAATATGTTCATATTGGACAAAAAACATGGTCACATAAGGCAAATAAGTATCTGTTCTAATTGGTCAGTTTTAAAATTTAGTTTCTCTGACTATATAAGCTAACAAATCAAGGACGCCAAATTTTGTTTAACGAATAATTAGTGATATTTTCACACTCTTATGATGAAATACCCTTATGGTTTAATATTTTTTTACATTTTGGGAAACCAAATGTCTATGTGTTGCCTTTCCAACTTTAATTACTTTCGCTACAGTCCATTTTAACAATTTTTAACGTGCAGTATTATTTCTTGCTCATTCTTGAAGACCTATGGTAAAGGCGAAATGTTCCTCGTCTATCAAAGTAATATACATATATATATTATTAATCGAAATTTTTTAAGAAAACGTGATTCGTTAAAACTTGATCACATGTACATTTGTTTTACTCAGTTTACACGCCAATACTGTTATGTTTAGCTTTTCGTAGGTCAAAAACAGCATAGTGCACAGGGCATACAGCATTTTACTAAAAATACATTCTAGAAATCCCTAATTTCACATTGTTCATGCAGTAGTTTTTGATTAATAATATAACAATTGTATCCTTTGGTTGAGGTCAATACGATGTTATATCGACCTAGAGAAGCATATTGACCTCGGACTTTGTCCTCAGTCAATATGCTGCTCTTAGGTCAATATAACCTCGTATCGACCTCATACAAGGGCTATAATTGTATCAAATATCTCATCATCTTTTAACGATATAGCATATCTCTTATCTATATATGTTATACGCTAACCGGATAGAAAAAAGAACAAGCCTGTACTACAATTTCTTAAAAGAAGAAAATGTTGATTAAAAGAAAAAATCTAAAACAAGAGCACACTTGGTCATCAATGGACATGTAAATGTCTGTTTGAATTTCAAAACATAATATTCAACAGTAAACAGATTTTTTGCTATCTCTCTTCTCCACATCACAAAAGGGGATACATAAATGAAAATGGTGAACCAAAAAATGGATTTATTTGAAAACATGATAATGAAATATGCATGCTATGGTTAGATTATCACAAATCAGAATAAACGTGTTTGCATATTCTAAGTATGTCTTTAACTTAAATGTGTCCAATATTGGAATTGAAATGGGCAATAACCCCACCAACATAGAATATGATATCCGTATGCACAAGTGTTTATGGAATTGAACCCGTTATTGGATAAAGTGGTAAAAGATTATATTTGTTTTTGATGTAGAAAATAATTTCTCGATATTTTTTTTAAATTTGATTAACCTATAAACTTCATTTAAATTTGATTGACATATTAACACCACGCACACAATTTGCCTGAATTCGAACTTCGGCAGTCATTTTTTATCATACTGTTTACATCAAGTGGAACACTATATTTGATAATATTTGCCAGAACTTAACACCAATAATATGATTGAGAAATTCGGCAGTACATGTGATATTTTCTCCAAGGAAGTAAAAAATGAAAACAACATTTTATAAATTCCATGCTTCCGAAGCGCTTTTCTAATTAACATTCATTAGGAACGCTCAAAGTCGAATATGTGAAGGCCAAGTATGTAAATATACATATATATATTCATATTTTTATCATAAAAATGTTACCTTTTTTGCAGTGGGGCAGCCGTACAGTGTCCAATGATTCCCAATATAGAAGATGAACAATACGGTACATCGTCATCACGTGACCTAGAAAGGGCTCAAACTTCCAGAAAATTTCTTACAATGATACTAAACTTTATCAGAATGGACCAATCAACGAGCACTGAAGACTTTAAAACAAGCTCATTAGATTGTCAAGTATGACGAACACGTGCTGTATGATATTGTATACATTACATTTGTAATTTTTCATGAATAAGTCGATGGGTTGCGTAGATAAATCATTTATACGAGGCATGTAATTTTAATGGTATAAATGATACATTTTGCTTGTAAATTTTCAGTTTATGAATTGTGTAATTACAGAGTAAATAAGGTTATAACTCATTTGGCTGTCCTGTTTAAGCACTCTGATTTATATGATCTTATACGTTATATATTTTTTTTCTCCAAACTCCGAAAACATTTTTTTTCTTACAAAGATACGTTTTGTGTTCAAGAAAAGACATAACATACTTTTTTCTATGCTTTTATAAATTATATTGTTTATTGCTATATCAGAAATGATTTTTCTATGTTGTGATGTTACACTATTGTTTCAGGTAGGGTGAATGTTGGCGCCTATTAAAACGTTTAAACCCGCTGCATTTGTTTGCACCTGTCCTAAGTCAGGAACCTGATGTTCAATGGTTGTCGTTTGTTGATTTGGTTCATAAGTATTTCTCGTTTCTCGTTTTTTATGTAGATTAGACCGTTGGTTTCTCTGTTTGAATGGTTTTACACTAGTCATTTTTGGGGCCCTTTATAGCTTGCTGTTTGGTGTGAGCCAAGGCTCCGTGTTGAAGGCCGTACTTTGACCTATAATTGTTTACTTTTACAAATTGTGACTTGGATGGAGAGTTGTCTCATTGGCACTCATACTACATCTTCTTATATATTTTTACCCTCAATTGCGTATCAGTCTAATGTTCTACGGACTGTTAACAATATAGAAGAAAAAAAATCAAATTTGCTTTAACTTCAGTTAAAAAAATATTTTATCGAATCAAATGATATTTATAAACACTCTGTTTTCATTTGATAAAATGATTATGTAACAAAAAAGATAAATACACTTTATTCTTGTAGTTAAAATTTGGATTTGAAGATAGTTTACTCTGATATATCATGTACTTCTGGGAACAGTATATCTAACTATAATTAGGTAGTGTAAGGTCCCGTCAATTTATATGTTCCTGTGTACTTATATAAAAGCAACTTATTTCCTATGATTTCTTTGATAGATGGTTAATGAAGCTATTGCATCAAGGGTTCCAAGTGGTAAAATTGAAGTCATTCATTCGAAAGTTTTATGGACGCCATTACAATTTTGGCTAACCATTATGGAATATCTACGTCACAGATGACCACGCATATGTTCCAATTGTCATTCCTCTATTGCTCAAATATGACATTCCCGAATGCGACCCATTGCTGGGTTTGTACTTGCATGATAAAAACGACAGGTAGAGCAGAAACTGCTTACTGAGCACCCGAGATTTCCCTCGGTATTTGTTGGGGTTTGTGTCGCTCAATCTTTAATTTTTTGTGTAACGTTCTATTATTGTTGAAAAAGAGAGGCGAAGGATACCAAAGGGACATTCAAACTCTTAAATCGAAAATAAATTGACAACGCCATGGCTAAAAAGGAAAAAAGACAAACAGACAAACAACAGTACACAAAACAACGTAGAAAACCAAAGACTGAGCAACACGAACCCCACCAAAACTGGGTGTGTTTTCTTTTCATTGTTTTCACTTTTGGCCACAGTGTTTGTTTTTATTGGACTTATGAATTTCGATTGCCCCCTTTCTCTATTCTCTCGCTTTTTAATCATATTCATTTCAATCATTGTCTGTATTTTTTAGAAGTTCGTTGGAAATCCACGAAAATCTACGCACAATGATAAATAATTAATTCACATAATGAGGACTTTGTTGTCTATAAGACATCTGTATTTTTATATGCATGTTAAATGTAATTATATTTGTTCCAATGAAAGTGACATGAATAAAGAATGTAATTCAATTACAGTAATCACTTGTTATTGCAGACATACAGAAAGGCACACAAGTATCATTGTCGATTAACAAAAATCTTTTATATTAACATTATTTGTATTCATCGATGCCTGACACATATTCTGGCGTTTGGTAAGAAAATATCTGATAATCAAATTTATACAGATGCCATAGTTTTTTCAGATAGATTTTAGGTATTTTGTTGTAAAATGTTTGAGTGATTTTGGAACTTTCTGTATTTTTGTAAGATACGCTTCTGTCGGGGAAAACTGTCTCATTGAATATTTTAATTCCCATGTATCCGAAAGCCTTTCTAATGTCATTTTTGATTGTTTCAAATTTACCGACAAAATCATAGTTCATCAAACAAGGTTGACATAGATATTGATATTTTGCCCAGTGCTGTTCATAAGATAACTCAAAAGTATCTGGGTCAGTCAAATATTTAACGAACTCAACAAATTTTATCGGTTCACTACGGTTTACTTCTTTACTTCTCTTAAATCTGATTATTTTTTCTGCAATATTTTGAAAGACCGTCGAGTCTTTTCGAAACATTTTGTCTTTAAAAGCTGAGAGTAGTCTTTCAAAAGGATCACGAACAAACACGAGTTTCTTGTATGTTTGCAGCTTTTTCTGAATTTCAGGAAATGAATATTTGTCCAGGGTGTTTCCATATTTTGCCCAGGTATCATGCACATCACCAGACCACATTTTATTAAAAACGAAGTCTTTATTTGGAAACTTATCACTCAACGCTAGAAATATTCTTTTCCAGTTTGTACATGCCAATTTCGGCATCATACAAAATATAAATTTGTACTCGTCATTTACATACATATACTGGTAACTATTTCTCGGTATTGCTATGGGAATATGTCCAATGTCTTTAAGCTTTCTACATAAGTTCTGGAGTTGATGTGCTCTAATTTCTGGTTCGTCAGTAAAGCTTCGATTAATTAAAGTGTTCTCTTCTTGAGCCTAGAATAAAAAGAAAAAAAAATATCAACTATTGATAAGTTTATGCTTAGTATGATAAACATATACAATCAGTAGTAATAAATGACTGGAATGACCGTAAGACTGTTATTAGATATTATCAGTGGCGGATCCAGGGGGCGTAGAGGGCGTACGCCCCCTTTGATAGCCCCAAAATATAATTGTATCATGTTTTTTTCACGATTTATATGACTTTCATAGAATAAAAGCGTTCACAATTTTTTTTCGCATGGCTTCGCTCAGCAGTTTAGATTCCGTTTTAAGGTATTACGCCCCCTTTTAAAAAAAACCTGGATCGTCCCTGATTATTATTTAACAAAATTGAGTATAGGTCATAATAAATTTTGATTTAGTTTTCTATTACAACAATTGTTGTCTTATCAGTTCTGTTTACCTTCAATCAAGTGAGATGCATTATTTTTCCAGCTGAATACTTTTGATTGTCATTGGGGATATCGGATATTAACTTGCAAGAGTACAGCTTCATACCGATGTTTTGCTTTTATGTCCTTAAAACTAAATTAGTTTTGGGATCATCTGTTGAGATTAAGGATCATAACGTTATTCTCTTATGGCTGCTATGTCATCTAGATATGACCAAATTTCCGATCTACACATTTGATAAAATTGTTTTGAAAAATGATGACAATTTCCAAATAAGTCTTGTTATTATCCAAGGAAAATCACATTCTAGATTGTAATTTGTCAGACAACACGACGTACCGTGATAAAAAAGTTATCACAAAGTATGTTTAACTGCTTTAAAGATACATATGCATTCACATAGTCTGAAACAAATTGGTTCGGTCGAAATAGTTATTTCTTTTCACAAAGGTATATATATATATTGTCACGCAAAACAATATATTTAACCACTGTGTCTTTTGTCCGTTAGACCTAGATCATGAAGTTGTTGTGTAGGACGTAAAAAAGCCCCTACCGACCGACTACTGTTTTTTATTCAATGTGAATTTAATCCCTCGTCCCTGTTTGAAATGTGCTCCCTTTATAGATTAGCTCTCAACACATTTTTTAAATTTGATCTGCATAATGCAATGATACCCGAATCATGAAACAGTATATGCAATGTAAACAAAGCAAAACAAATTTTACTTTTACCTTTTAAAGATAGTTGACAATTTATGTGTAATAAGTTGCAGTAAAGTCAAAATCTACTACAAAAGGCAAAAGTCGTATTCTTATGACATAACTGTATAAAAGCTCTAATATTAGTTTTCTTTTGGTTTCTGAAAGTTTCCAATCAACATAATTAAAAAAGAGGTTCAAAAACATTATCGTTATTTGCGATTAAGAGATGATAAAAGACTTTAGGAGAAAAAAGTAAAATCACAAAAATACTGAACTCCGAGGAAAATTCAAAAAGGAAAGTCCCCAATCAAATGGCAAAATAAAAAAAAAACAAACACATCAAACGAATTGATATATAACAACTGTCAAATTCCTGACTTGTCATCAGTTATAAATTTACTGGTTCCAAACTGAATTTACAAGCGACAACGACAGCTGTCAAACAGTTATTTTTAACAAACGCATTTTAACTGAGTAAGACAATATTATAACAACTGTTTTTTTTGCTGTAATGAAAATGCTAAAGTAATGCACAAAATTAATATATTTTTTTTCTAATTCAAAAAGAGTAATATAGTTCAACGACGTCAATAGTGGAACTAATGACTATACATTATTTTACCCCTGCAAACAAAGCTGGTATTTTGTAAGAGGGGTATAGAAGAATCAATTCGGTCCTCCGTCCCTACATGTGCACGTATGCTTGTCTGCCTGGCCTTCCGTCTGTCAATGTTACTTACTAGCTAGACAGATATTGATGACGCTTTACACGGTTGTAGAACACTCCTAAGGATATGGATAAATTAATATTATCCCGCGCAAAAATTTTAAAACGGAGCTCATCAAATTTACTTTCTTCAATATTTCCATACATTGTATTTGACAAAAGTCTCGTAAAAACCTCATCATAGAAACAAGGCCTAAAGGTAAGCGCAACTCCATTTAAAAACTACACGATATTGAGAAAACTTTAAACAGTTTTAAAGAAAATCACCCCAGTCAAAAATGTTAAAATGGAGTTCATCGTATCTACTTTCCTCACTATTGCAATATATGACAGTAGTCTCTCTTAAGAGCAACTCATCCTAAAAAGCTAGACGATATTGATGCAATCTTCATGCAGTTACAGTAAACTACCTATTTGAACATAAACCGTTTCCTAGATGTTAAAGGAGTGATTATCCAATTAAATAACCTTAATATTGCAATGTCTAATAATTGCTAGTAAGTGCAACCCTTCTTTACAGGTTAAAAGAGCGCAAATTATTATTTGTTTACATTTTACCTGTAAGTTGGTACTCAGAATAGAATCTTGAACGGCTTCTGATTGGATGATACAGGACTGGAATTACTTTTAATCGAAAGCTTATCCAATTAGGTTTAAAAACTCCAGAAAATCAAATTCATATTTTACAAAGTATAGAAAAAACAACCAATTTCTGAACGTTAAAAATAATACCTTTTATATTTAGCGAAAAAAAAAATCAACTGCATTTTAAGTCAACTTTTGCCGCATGACCATTTGTATTTTTTTTTGCTGTTGTGCAACGCTAAAACTTCATAGAAACCAGGTATATCCTGAATCATACATGTATCACCTTTCTACATGTCAATTTTCAACCTACCTTTAAAGTCTTATAAGAAAAATCTGACCTTCGGAACACAGGTACTACCAAAATAAACCCTGGTTTTCTGGAAATCTTAAATTAGTATACTGAGGAGCACATCAATCCTGAATTTTAAATGCAAATTCATAGACAAGTAAATTTTGGCTCAAAATGGTCTAAATATATTTTTCTTTCACCAAAAGTTTCATTTCTGCAAATTTATTGGTTAGTTTAAGTAAAAAATGACACCAAAAGCACTATTTTGTGTCAGAGTAAGGCTACTTTTACATACGTTCTAAATCGGAGGGAGTAATTAGAGGTCTGACACCTAAACAGCAAAAACAATTGATCAAAAGTCTTTTGTTTTGCTTTATCCTTAATCCTTGGTCAATTTGTAGTAAAAGAAATCCTATCTGAGCATAATGCGACTTATATTACAAAATTCACAACTCAATTTAAACTGACTGTAATGTATGACTTTAATAGATAATACTTGAAAATTTCATTTTAGACTACAGGAACATAAACTTTCGATATCAAGATCAGTTTTGGTTGATTTTTCCTTGTTTGTCCTACTGCTTTAAAGACTTTCCACAAATTTAACAATGAGTTTAGTAAAAAATAAAAGGTATTGAAGAGTCTAGGAATATTGACCCCCCCCCCCCCCCATTTTTTTCACCAGGTGTCAGTAATGGGAATATTAATTGATCAATAGTGCAGTTATGTTCATTAAACTATTTTTATTTACTATCAGTCAATAAAATCTAAGGTAGAAAACTTTCATTTGAGACAATTAATGGGATTGTGAGGAGTTTATGCAGTGTTTACTTTAGGCTATGTTATCTGCTAAATACATGGAATGACGCAATGATATAAGGGGTAAAAATCAAATAATTTCATTAAATCTTCATGACGACAATTTTTTTGGGGTAGTAAACAACCTATGTTTTAATGTTTAATACCACAGAAACAACTTACTGTGCATTCATAACAATTTAGGACATTTTTTTTTTATATGAAAGCATATTGTAAGGGTGGGAAAAGCTAAAAATAGCACAAATTCAGGTTCAAGGCTCTAGATTTGCAATATGTGACTTTTTGCCAAAAAAAGGTTGAAATGTGGCTACTATCATTTCAAATGATCAGTTAAGACAAAAAAATCAATTGTTTTCTGATTTTTGGGTTTCACCGCTTTTCGCTTTAAAGGTGTCAGACCACCAATTAAAAATCCCTATCTGTTCAACCAAATTTTGCAATTTTCACAGCTTTCTGAATATTTTACCTCAAGTTTAACTTCATAGAAACCAGGTATATCCTGAATCATACATGTATCACCCTTCTACATGTCAATTTTCAACCTACCTTTAAAGTCTTATAAGAAAAATCTGACCTTCGGAACACAGGTACTACCAAAATAACCCCTGGTTTTCTGGAAATTAAATTAGTATACTGTGGAGCGCATTAATCATTAATTTTCAATGCAAACTCATAGACAGGTAAATTTTAGCTAAAAATGGTCTTAATATATTTTTCTTTCACAAAAAGTTTCATTTCTGCAAATTTGTTGGTTAGTTTAAGTAGAAAATGACACCAAAAGCACTATTTTGTGTCAGAGTAGGGCTACTTTCACATACGTTCTAAATTGGAGGGAATAATTGGTGGTCTGACTCCTAAAGAGCAAATAAATTGATCAGAAGTCTTTTGTTTTGCTTTATCCTTAATTCGTGGTCAATTTGTACTCTTCCTGAGCACCTGAGATCACCCCCAGTTTTTGGTGGGGTTCGTGTTGCTTAGTCTTTAGTTTTCTGTGTTGTGTCATCTGTACTATTGTTTGTCTGTTTGTCTTTTTATTTTTGGTCATGGCGTTGTCAGTTTGTTTTCGATCTGTGAGTTTGACTGTCCCTCTGGTATCTTTCGTCCCTCTTTTGTAGTAAAAAAATCCTATCTGAGCATAATGCGACTTATATTACAACATTCACAGCTCAATTTAAACTGACTGGAATGTATGACTTTAATAGATAATACTTGAAAATTTCATTTTAGACTACAGGAACATAAATTTTCAATATCAAGATCAGTTTTGGTTGATTTTTCCTTGTTTGTCCTACTGCTTTAAAGACTTTCCACAAATTTTACAATGAGTTTAGTAAAAAATAAAAGGTATTGAAGAGTCAAGGAATATTGACCCCCCCACCCCCACCCCCCCCCTTTTTTCACCAGGTGTCAGTAATGGGAATATTAATTGATCAATAGTGCAGTTATGGTCATTAAACTATTTTTATTTAC